CGGGGCTGGACAGCGGGGCGGGGCTGGACAACAGGACGGGGCGGGGCATCCGCAAGGGCGGGGCAGCGGGGCGGGGTCAGCAGGAAACCAGGCTGTTCCGCAGGAGACGCGAGGGGCTAAGGCAGCAGGGCGTGGCAGCAGGATTGCGCACAGAAGGGAAGGATTTTTCGGAGAGTGGTATCAGGCGGTCGCGGGACAGGGAGAAGGACAGGGCGAGCAGCGGCGAACAGCTAGCTTCTTGGCTGCCAAATCTGACCAGTACTGTTACAGGGCCCAGCTGGACCGGCCAGCGGGACGTCGGGGCTACTCTCTGATTCCTCTGCCCAATTTGAGGCTCCGTGGCATGCGGACCGCACAGTGAGCACCGACCTGGATCTAGCTGCTTCACATCCAATGTTACTATGTCTGTCGCTGCCCTTGTCCCTGTCCATGGACTCCTTTCTGCAGGCATTTGGGAAATCTGAGAAATGGATTGAGCACCTATTATGTGCCTCTGGTGATGCCACCCCCCACACCTTTTTTTTTTTTTTAACTAGGGATTGAACCAGAGGTGCTTTATCACTGAGCCACATCACGATGTGTGTGTCTCAGGATGCATGTAGATAGAATGCCCAGGAAGACAGAGTACCAGCCAAGAAATAACTTTTAGGTTTTAAAACCAGAGACCACTGGGGACAACCTTAGAGAAGGCCAGATTTTATAACTGTGGCAATAAGACATTGGGGACCGTACACCAAAGGAACTGTGAGGCAACTCACCAATTAAAGAGATAAGAGTATCATAGAATTTGCAGGAAGGGTTGGATTTAAGGAGAGAGAGAGAGAGAGAGAGAGAGAGAGAGAGAGAGAGAGAGAGAGAGAGAGAGAGAGAGAGACTGCATTAGGTTGCTCAGAGAGAGGTTTGATCCTATCTTCCTTGTTATTCTGTTTTGTGATTTTTGCCCCTCTTCCTGCTAAACTCTGCAGATTGGAACTTAGGATACAAGGGAAAGGTGGTATTTGTCACTTGTGAGCTGGATGTTGTTGCTTTTTGGACTGGGCAACAAAGCTGGCTCTTTCTTTCTTAGGCAGTTTTGTAAATTCTTCAAAATACCGGACCCCTCCCCAGCCTGCCACCTCTCTCCCATCGCTTGAAGTTTTTAATTTTGTATCCTGTTAACCAGGGCTGATGCAATTTTATTCCAGCTATAAGGAATCCAGTAATACTTTAAGCATCCTCTCCATTAATGTCTGATCATTGGTCTTGGGTCCTCCTTGAACAACTTTTAAGATAATCCATGCTGGTTCAACTATGGTACCCACCTGTGATCCACAGGTGTTGTGGGTCTGGTTTTCTTAAAAGCAGATTCTGAGATGGAGACAATTGTGCAAGGTGTTTGTTAGGGTGTGCCCTTGGGATCAATACTTGTGGAAAGGAAAAGAAAGAAGCAAGACTGGTCAGAAGGAAAAGTCGAAGCTGTCCTATGGTCTCAATGGGGACCTCAGCCAATCCTGTAGAAAGTTTTGAAACTGGGCTGGCCATGCAGAATTGTCCTAATTTAGGGGAGGAGGTCTGGAACTTTTTATCTCCAAATAGGCCAGTCTCCACTCTCTGTAGCTGATGAACATTGACAGCTGAGAGTTGTCTGATGGCAGGACTTCCAGTGGCTAGAGGTCAAATCCTTCAGACATCACATCTACCCCAAAGTAAACAACAGCCTTTTCCTCAAAGGATTCTGGGAATGCAGACCAATTCTAATTCCCAAACAACCTCTCCTTCACTCCCTCCTTCAAAGTAGTTGGTCCTCCTTTCTTTGGCTGTTTAGATTTTCTTCAGGCCATTGTGTTCTTCAAAATTCAAGGAAAACATAGTAATTTCTTCAGGTAGTCTCCTGAGAGAAAGGGAAATTTTCCATCATCATAAAACCTTAAGAACCTTCTACCTTTTCAAATCCTTTCTGATCTCTAACTTCCAATGTCTGTACCCTCAATGTGGATCAGAGATTTAAGGACCATCCTGTAGGTTTCTGACCAATTCCTTTAAAATTTCTTGCATCTTAGTACTGCACCGCCTTTGGAAAGTGTCTCAGCTGAAGACTTCTATAATTACTTTTGCATAATAAAATAGGGTTCACCTGTTTCCCCTAACAAAAAGGGATAAACTGCACCAACTACCCACAGTTTGTGGGGTAAATTCAGATTTTGCAGTGGGACTGAGTGCTCTGAAGCAATCATCTCTTCTTTCCTCACCTCTTATCAATCTAGTAACATCTCTCTACACATGTTTCTTCACCTCTGTCAGGCTAATTTTCTAATTTTCCATGCCAATGTGGTTGGTTTCTATTTCAGTTCTCTCTGCCAACCCTCCATTCTTTCTCTAAAAATTTTTCCTTAATAATCAGACTATTTGAAAGTTTATCACATCAATAGTTGCAATTCAATAACCATTGCATACTCTGTGCTCAGCACTGTACTTGTTTCCTGACTCCGTTTTCCATTCATTGCACCTACCTTCTACGAATTTGGGGTTTGGGGTAGCTCCTGTTATTGTTGTTATGCCATTTGTTGCTTTTGAGTATTTTTTGAGTACAAAATGTAGATCAAATGACTGATGTGTCTAAAGAGAGCAGTGTGGCCCCCATTGTCAAACAAAAAAGAAAAAAGAAAAACACATATGAACTGGTTGTCACAGACGTCTTTAATTTTTAAATGGCTCGGCAGACGCCCCAAAGCACAAATCTAGGTTTATCAAGAACCTGGAGATGTACCCCTATATAGTGATTACTGGTCGTCTTTCTTATCAGGTACCCTATGTATGATCCTGGATAACCACTGGTCAGTGTTGAAGTGATCAAATCTGTGAGTGAGCTCAAAGGTTTTAGCTAACTGAAACTGCCAGCTAGTAAACTCTTTAATAGGATGGTTGGTTTTCAGTGTGTTTTGTAATCCTGAAACATGACAAAGTTTAGTCTAATTTTAATTTCATTATCTGTTTTCCTTCTTTATGATGAATTTAACCCACCTCCCTCACTTAGCTTTTTGAAAGGGTAACTTTGAACACAGAGATACAGTAAGGAATAAAATCTCTGGCAGGTGGTTTGTGACTGATTAAAAAATGACTATAATTTTTTTTTTTTTAACATTCCTCCAATTGAAAGGTGAAGTTTATGTCTAGGACAGGCTACAATGTTTGGGACATGGTACCAAATGAAAATGTAATGGCCCAAGTGTGGGACCCTGTGAGGTTGCATGTGGCATTCTTCCTAGGGTTACATGCCCACAAGACCAGTTTGTTTATGATTCCTCCTTGAATCTGAGCTTGTAGTGGCTTTGACCATAGACTATGGCAAAATTGACACTGTTTCTGAGGCCAGATCCTGGGAGAATGGCAGCTTCATTTCTAGTACCTTGGAACACTGGGAGCCTTGAGCCACCATGTAAAGAAACCTATAATCCTGAGCCTACCAGATTGGAGGGGTCATGTATGGGCATCCCCTAGTGACAGTCTCAGATGAGCCCAATCTTCCAGACACACTTACCAAGACACATGAAAAAAAGCCATCTTGGACTCTTTAGACTGGCCCATTCACTAGCTGGATGATGAATGACATCAGTATACACCACAGGGAACAGAATCATTTAGCCAACCTCTACCTGAACACCTGATCCACAACATCTTGAGATATCATAAAATTGCCATTGGTCTAAGCCACTCTACTTTGGAGTAATATTTTCTCATACCTGGAACAAGAAAAAACTTTTCCTACATTTAATCTGGGTAGCTTGTAAAATTAATGAACAGTGCTGTTGCAGAAGAAGTTTCACTTGTGTGTTTGGTCCTCGGGCTATGAATATCAAAATTATTCGGGACACTCATTAAAAATTGAGATACAGTGAATTTTAATTTCTGAGACCGGAGCTTTCAAGTGATACTTATGTACTTTCAGATCTCAGAACCACTGGAATTGCATCAAAATTGTGGCCAGGAATGATCTAATTCTTTGCTACTGAAAGTGTGGTCCACAAAGGCGTGATCAAGCATCATCTTGATGTTTGTTAGGCATCAGATTCTCAGATGCCATCCCAGACCTACTCAGTTACCACTTGCAGATTAAAATGGTGCCCCCCCATCCAGTGATTTGAATAGATATGAAAATTTGAGAGACACTGCTGGAGAATGATTCTTAACCTTGGTTGTACACAACAGTCACCTGGAGTACTTAAGAAAATGAAGACACCTGCCTGGGCCTCATCCCAGATCATTTAGATCAGAATCTCCAGGGGCTGGGGTCTGGCTATCATTTTTTGTTTTTGTTTGTTTTAAAGCTCCACAGAAAATTTTAATCAGTAATCAAGGTTGCAAACCAATGATCTCATCTCTGTCATCTGTCTCCTTACCAACGTGTGTGTGGTCCCCCTTGGTAAGTATCCGGGAGTGGGTTTTTTGGTGTGTGTGCACCCAGATTCCTGTTTAACTTTTTTCATTTCATTATAGTTCACCTTAGGAAAGGTATGTGTGATTTTGACCTTATCAAGAGCATTGCATTTCAACTTTAGAAATAGAAATGGCATCACAAATGATCATCATTTCCACTGAAAATCAAGCACCTTGAAATAAATGATTTAATTGGAAATGCTATGTTGGGTAATAGTCTTCAAAGATAAAGGAGCTCAGCAGAGGGTGGGATCCTAGACCCCTTAAAACTGCTGACCTTCTTACAGGTCATTAGTCCTTGTTACTCCTATGAATTGAATTTTCACTTCTAGAGTTCCTTACTACAAAGTCCATAAGTATGACTCTAATTTCAAGAGTCAATCAACAATAGAGGACTGTAGATTAGTGGATTAGGACAAATTAGTTTAAGCACCTGTGATTTAACACTTCTACCAGTAGGTGTCAGTATAACTCAGGAAAATTTAATTTGACCGGTAATTTGTATAAAATGATGGTAGAAATG